ATTTTTTGATTTATTGTAGAGATGAGGTCTTGCTGCCCAGGCGGGTCTCAAACCCTCAGGCTCAGGCAATCCACTCACCTCAGCCTCCCAAAGGCGCGGGATTACAGGCTGAGCCACTGAACCTGGCTAGGCTAAGGCATTCTTACCTGTGGGGTCCCTATCTCACTACATATCAAATATTATCTATTTCTTAAATGATATGGTCACATCGTACATACAAAATACATTTTTTTTTTGCTTTAAACTTTTTGGAAAGGATTATCTTTATGCTTTTGCTTTTGAAATGATTTGGCTTTGAGGAATCTGTTTAATTTACAATTGGTAACGATTTCTTGGCAGTGCTCCTGCACACTTGGGGATTCTTGTGAGGTAAGATATTCTGACCTCCAAACCATTATCAGATGTGATGAACTTTTATGAATATGAAATGAAGCTGATGCAACATTACACTGTAGAGACATTTACTGATACATTTATTAATTGTGATTTTGCAGTCTTCTTTCGAATTTTGGAGGCGATACTGATTTTTTTGTTTTTTTCTTCCAGATCTCAGACATTTTTATAGGCCCTTGGAAAGTTCCCAGTACCTGGCTATTGTCCGGTGGAAAAAACAGAGCAGCCTGTGTTTGTCAGGAGGAGAACTGTGGGGAACCTCTCTGTGTACTGCCCTCCCCACCCAGCAGCCATGCTCGAAAGATGACAAAAAGGTCACCCAATGGCCTCGAGGGGTCAAGAGTCACGGTAAAATTGGTATCCCTGCACTTTGGGAGGCGGAGGCAAGAGGATTGCCTGAGCTCAGGGGTTCAAGACCAGCCTGGGCAACATGGTGAGACCTCATCTCTATGATAAATCAAAAATTTACTCAGGCATGGTGGCATGCATCTGTGGTTCCAGCTACTTGGAAGGCTGAGGTAGAAGGATCGCCTGAGCCTAGCAGGTAGAGGCTGCGGTGGCCATGCGCATGCCACTGGACTCCAGACTGGGTGACAGAGTAAAGACTCTGACTCAAAAAAAAAAAAAAAAAAAAAAAATTAGTGATGTTTCTGGACCGACATCAGCCCCCTTCCCTGGTTTTTCTTGCTAAGGGCCCCAAAATGACAAACTTGACAATATTAGTCATTCAATGCTGGACACGGTGGCTCATGTCAGCACTTTGGGAAGATGAGATGAGAGGATTGCTTGAGCCCAGGAGTTGAAGACCAGCCTGGACAACAAAGTAAGACCTCATCTCTACAAAAAATAAAATAAAATAATAAGCTGGGCATGGTGACACATGCCTGTAGTCCCAGCTACAAAGGAGGCTGAAGCAGAAGGATTGACTGAGCTCAGGAGGTCGAGGCTGCAGATAATGCCACTGCACTCCAGCCTGGGCAAAAAAGTGAGACCCAAACTCAAAAATAATGTGACAGTATCGTCTATTTGAGTAATAATTTAAATATTGAGAATCTAGCTGTGCCAAGTACTGTCTAGGCACAGAATACAGTGGAGAACGAGACAGACAATTAGGGGAAAAAATGGGAACTTCCATTCTCTGTTCCCCAGTTATTATGGAATAAATTCATGTCTACTAATGGGATAACTTAAGGCTATGAAAACGTGGGCTCACAGACCACACAGGCACGTGACAAGCATTTACTGAAAACTCTACTCAGAAATTCTACCCAGGAGGTAGGCAGCCAACAGCACTTGGCCGTGTACATGGTGGTCACCACCGCACAGGCTCAAGAAAGAAATGACAGAGGCAGTGCTGGGTTTGGCCACACTCAGTAGGCCTCAGTCAAAATGGCCAGAGAGATACCACCTCTGATATCTTCTTCTCGAGGGGCAAGCCAGGCTGAGCACCTTCAGGAGGGAGTCATTTGTGAGATAATTCATTACCAATCCATTTGCCCAACAGGAAAAGCAGGCCCTAGAGAGAAGGGAACCCAGAATAGGGAAGAATTCTAGGGACAGGGACTTCAAATTCTGGGGACTTCCCAGCCCAGGGATGACTTACAGCTGGGGCGTGAATCATGACAGTGGTACCTTTAGTTGCAGGTGCCCTGTGCCTCCCAGTCACTGCGCTGCATGTTAGTGCAGAGAATGCCCAAACCCCACCAGGCAGGGAACCTTCTCTTTGTACAGTGCAGACACCCAAACACAGTGAAGTTACAGAGCCAGCAGATGGGGGAACTGGGGCCCAGAGCCTGAAGCCTCTAATCCCTCTTGCTGCACTTCTGGGCCCCCTGGGTGGAGAAAGAGGGCAGGATCACTCCAGTGTTCTCCCTTTGCCCAGGGCCCAGCACCCGGAGGTGACCATGGGTATTGAACTGAGCAGTGGCATGCAGAACACTGGCAGGGACAGACCTTTCCTAGCCCTCAGTTCTTCACGGAGCCCACCTGATTCCCTCAAACCTGGACCTCGCCCCTCCTCAGCCCCACGTTTCCACTGGATGGAAATAGAGACTCTCCTTATTTGCCTGACTTCAGAGTCCTCACCTCTGGCCTGCAGCGATCCAGGGCTCTGCCCCTTCTGGTACACAAAGCCTTTGTCTTCTTATGAAAATGACCAGGCTCTTCCCATGAAAGTATCCAACCTAAAAGGGAGGTGGAGAGAGAACACCTCATGGAAAATTAGCGAAACACATTTCTTTGTATTTGAATACTTCCAAGACCTCATTTTGGCAGTAAATCAACTCTGGGTTAGACTCCGCATCCTAAGTCTTTTTTGTGCCTTTTTGATATTTCATGAAGCCTAAGGACTCCTTAAAATAGATTTAAGTGCACACAATAAAATACACAGAAGTACAATAGAAATAAATGACGTTTAAAAAATTGAGTCTCACTCTGTCGCCCAGGCTGGAGTACAGTGGCACGCTCACAGCCACTGCAGCCTTGACCTGCTGGACTCAAGTGATCTTTCCACCTCAGCCTTCCAAGTAGCTGTGAGCCACTGTGCCTGGTGAAATAAATGGTACTGAAGTGGTGTTTATCAAAATATTTGTAATACAGTAACATGGTCTGCTTCTTTGTTGACATGTTAAATAACAAGATCTATGGGTCTGATTAGTATAATTTTGAGGTAATGATATGAAAATATTTGTGATTTCTGGCCAGGTTCAGTGGCTCATGCCTGTAATCTCAGCACTTTGGGAGGCTGAGGCGAGAGTATTGCCTGTGTCCAGGGGTTTGAGACCAGCCTAGGCAACTTGACGAGACTTTGTCTCTACAATCAAGAAAAATTAGCTGGGCATGGTGGTGCACACCTGTAGTTTCAGCTACTTGGAAGGTTGAGGCAGAAGGATTGCCTGAACCCTGCAGGTCGAGACTGTGGTAGCCGTGATCATGTTAAGGTGCTCCAGCCTCGGCAACAGAGACTTCAACTCAAAAAAAAAAAAAAAGAAAATATCTATGATTTCTTTTTGTAACAAAGTTACAGGTGCTGCTAACACTAACGAGGTTTGTTCCAGCATTTACCATGGAAGCAAATGCTGAATTTCTTTTTTTTTTGAGTTGGAGTCTCACTCCATTGCCCAGACTGGAGTGCAGTGGCTGCTCCCAGCCACCGCAGCCTCGACCTGCTGGGTTCTGGCTATCCTTCCACCTCAGCCTTCCAAATAGCTGGAATTACAGGCACGCACTACCACGCCCGGCTAATTTTTGATTTACTGTAGAGATGAGGTCTCGCCAAGTTGCCCAGGTGGGTCTCGAACCTGTGGGCTTAGGCAATCCACTCACCTCAGCCTCCCAAAGGCGCGGGATTACAGGCTGAGCCACTGAGCCCGGCCTTCCGGTGAATTTCACACAGTGAGCACACTCATCTAATCCACACCAGGATCAAGAAATAGGACACTATCAGTACCCCCGCCTCCATCTCCAAGGGAACCACTCTCCTAACTTCTACCACTGCTGTCCAGTTCTGCCTGTTTCTAAATTAATATAAATGTTCCCTTATTCATAACAATGATGCTTTCTCACTTAGTCCTCAGGTCTCCTAAGGGACCCGTCTACTCCGAAGTTTCCAGTCAGAGGCCTATCCCAGGCCTTCTCGGGGACCCATCTACTTCAAAGTCACAGCCACATGAGTGTCTACTTGTTCTTCAGAATCTGTAGCAAAGTCCCGCCTCATGGCCTTTACACTGGCTTTCCCCTTGACTGACAACAGTATCTACTCCCCACATACCTGCCTGGCTTCCTCCTTCACTATTCCAGTGTCACCTTCCCGGCAAGCCTGACCCTGACCCTTGGCTCCCTATCTGAATAATGTGACCCATGTGTTCTCTATCTTCTTTTTCTTCCTTTTTCTTGGAGTGCTTATTAATTTTTTTTTAAAAATAGAGACAGTGTCTTGCTATGTTGTCCAGGCTGGTCTCAAACTCCTGGCCTCAAGTGATTCTCCCACCTCAGTCCTGCTTATTACAGTTGGCACTATATTCTACACATATATCCCATGTATTGTCTGTCTCCCTCTAGTAGAATGTTCGTACTACAAGGACAAATTGCTTTGTTCCCAAGGCCCAGATTTAGATAGCACATGGTAGACACTCAATAACTCTTGAGTGAAAGGAGAAATTAATTGGCACAGAACTTCTTCACCAAAAGACGAGTTGCCTCCATGAGGCTAGGAGACCCAGAATTTAAATCTACTGCTTTGCTAGCAGGGGCAGTGCTGTGGACTTTTGCCAGGGTCTGGTCTTTAGCTGTGACAAAGACCGGAGATTGAGGGGACAGAGGCCAAACCCAGTGAGACAACACATCTGCTGGCCAGGAAGCCAGGGAGGGCCTTCCCCACCCCTCTCAGGGTGCTACGGTGACCCTCCCCCCAGTGTCTCTGGCCAGCCAAGGTGCCCCACCCCAGAGCATCTGAGAGAAGTACAGCCAGCAGCCCAGAGGTCACAATAGGGCTGCTGTGTGCTGTTGTCTTTGGGGAGGGCACGGGCCCAGGCAAATGAGCGGGGCACATGCAGATATAGAGGCATGTGGGCTGGCTGGGCTTGGCTTCCACTTCAGTGCTCACTGGGATGGAGAGCAGCCTTAGTCAGCCCAGCCTGGCGAGGGAGCCTACAGGGGACAGCCAGGCTCTGGCTGAGCTCCAGGAGCTGGCCCTGAAGTGGTTCATGGAGACACAGGCCCCCGTCATTCTGCAGAATGGCTCCCTGCCCCCCTGGTTTCACGGATTCATCACTCGCAAGTAAGGCTGCCCCTGTCCACAGGCCCCAGGTGGCCCACAAGCCCACCGAACCGAGAAAATGGCCTGGGGGCTCTCGAGCAGACTGGTTTCTGTTCTCTCCCCGGGCCTTGGGAGGTGGAGGATGGGGGAACAGACTGAGGAGCACCATCCTCAGGCGGTGGCATCCACAGGTGGGAGGTGGTTGGGGCTGCCAGGGAACAGGAAGAGGGCCAGGCCTGAGCTAATTAGTATTTAGGGGACCCGATCAGTCATTGATCATCCAAACTGGAACACTATGGGTAACTAAGCTGGGAGAACTGTCATAAACGGGGCCATCCCAGGCAAACCTGGATGCATGCTTATCCCAGGAGTAAGCGCCAGGATGTGGAGTTTGGCTTCCTAATCAGACTGGGTCTCCACACAGCCAAAGCACTAGACAAAGGAATGACCAATCCACCAGTCGTTAGGCCCTGGCTTGGCACCTACATGGTGTCAGGGTCAGCTTTATGGGTATCAACTTGTGCAACTGCATGGGTCCCTGTGCTCAGAAGGGCCCATGCTCAGTTCAATGCTCTGCTGTCACTCTCTTTAAATTCTTAATAATTTTTGAGCATAGGTCCCCATGTTTTCATTTAGTAGGGGGCCTGCAAATTATGCAGCTGGTCCCACATAGAGCAGACACTCCGTAAGTATGTGGTGAGTCAGTGAGTGAGGGAATACATATCTGGTCTATGTACTGCCAAAGCAGAAGACAGCTGGAATTTTCCACCATGTCTCCAAAATATTTGGCACCACATAAAAATATCCAAGCTGCTTGGAGTTGAAGGGAATGTGAAGAAGGTAGGGAGTTCCTGTGAGCTGCTATTGCAACCAGGCTTCAGACAAAATAGCAGTTCTTCCCTGTAGAAACTCTTGTGTAGTCCATACCCTGCACAACTGTACATACTGATCCTGAGGGAGGGAACCCTCCCAAGCCTAAAAATCTCCAGTTGTGTGGATTCAGTCTTGCTGTACAGCCATCGGTTGGAAAGAGGGTGGCTAAGGTGCCTTAGTGTGCCTGCTGCTGAGGATGCAAGGGAGTGAGGGGTGCTTGTGGCCCAGTCTGTGGTCTGTCCAAGCTCAGTCTTGAGCTTGCTCAGTTGAGCTTGGACAGACCACAGACTGGGACCTGACAGGCCACAGGCACAGCCAAAGGTCTGGGGGAGTACTCTCTAAAGTGTTGGAGGTCTGGGACCCAAGAGCATGGCCAGCAGGGATTCTGAGACAGGCCTAAGTCAGGTTCCTCCTGAGGCTGTCAGGACACGGGCCCCCTCTAATGGCTTGTCCTCTGCCCAGGCAGACGGAGCAGCTACTCAGGGACAAAGCCCTTGGTTCCTTCCTCATCCGCCTCAGTGACCGGGCCACCGGCTACATCTTGTCCTACAGGTAAGAGGGAGGTTCTCTGTGAGGGGGCCGGCAGGCTCAGGCTCCCATAACCCAGCCCTGCAGATTGCTCCTTTTTTCCTCTGTTTCCTCATCTGAAAAATGGGAATATTATAATAGCTAGAGCACAGGCCCCAGCCACTCACAATGCCTGGCTTTTCCTGGGTCCTGAATCCCTCATCCTACTTGCTCAGCAGACACGTCCTGAGAAGTAGTGGCCTTCAAAGGGGAGGAATGAGGCCAGCAGAGAACATCCTCCCAGTGGGCAGCTGGGGAAGGGCTCACAAAGGTGAACTTTGAGCCCAGGAAGAAAGACTGCAATTTGCTAGGCAGAAAGGAGGGTGCGGCTGGGGTTCAGGAGGGCGTTTCCAGGACATGAAATGGCCTGTGCAAAAGTACAGAGGCATGAAAGACAAGAGTGTTGGGGAAGCCTCAGTTCACTGGATGCGGCAGAAGACATGACTCCTATGGGGGATGCAGGGGTGGGCGGGCAGCTCAGGATGGCCTTGTATGCCTGCCTGAGTCTATGGATCCTGAAGGGCGATCTAGTCTGAGGTATTTTGCGCGGGTCCTTCAGGTAGCCTATGGAGGGAGGCTGGGGGTCAGAGGCTGGAGGTGTGGGGACAGTGGGGACTCATGAGATTGACTGGTTGTGAGATGATGAGGTCTGGCCTGGGGTAGGGCAGTGAGGACAGAACAGAGGAGACAAGGTGGCCAGGATGAAGGCAGAGATGGTGATGCAGGATCTGGTTCTGAGAGTAGGTTGGGTCGGAGGAGGCAGAGGAGGGGAGATCTCTCCCCTATATAGTGGGGAGGCCGGGAATCCAGGGCAAACCTCAGAGGTTTCAGATTCGGATTCAAAATGATCACTGACTCAGACCCCCCCAGTTCAAATCCTGACCTGGAGTAAGTTACTTTGCTTCTGTGTTCCTCTATTTCCACATCTGTAAAATGGGAATATTATAGCACCCAGTCCCTAGGATTTTTGAGTGTTCAATCAGTTGAGACATTTAAAAGTGCATGGCAGCTGGGAGCAGTGGCTCACAACTGTAATCCCAGCACTTGGGAGGCCGAGGTGAGAGGATTGTCTGAGCCCATGGGTTTGAGACCAGCCTAGGCAACACGGCGAGACCTCATCTCTCCAATAAATAAAAAAATTAGCCAGGCATGGCGCATGCCTGTAGATCCAGCTACTTGGAAGACTGAGGTGGAAGGACTGCCTGAACCCAGCGGGTCAAGGCTGTGGTAGCCATGACACTGCACTCCAGCCTGGGTGACAGAGTGAGATCCAACTCAATAAATAAATAATAAAAATAAAAGTGCTTGGCACAGTGCACGAAATATAGTAAGGACTAAACAAATATTAGTCATTGTTAAAATATTTTTATTCTATGTACCGGGCACTTCGAAATATACTAACTCAGTAGTTTTCTTTGTGTGTGTGTGTGAGAAAGCAGGATTTATTGAGAAGACAAAAAAGGCTCTCACAGTGGGAGGGGACCTGAAGGGGTTGCCCACTCAGTAATTTTCAAGTATCTTTTCAACTACGGGGTTTTTTGTTTGTTTTGTTTTTTTCCAAATGAGAACTTAGGCAGAATGCCACCTTATGAAAGAGATCAAAGTGGGGCTGTTCAAAGATAAACAACAAAATAGAGCCCTAAGACAGTCCCACATGTTTGCTTGCCTGATTTACAACAGAGATACCGCTGCAAATCCATGGGGGTAAAGGCCTGTTTCTCAATAATTGGTGTGGAGCAATTGGATATCCAAATAGAAAAAAAATGATCATTGCCTCACACCTTACATGAAAATTAATTAATTCTAGATGGATCATAGATCCAAGAAAGAAAAGGAAAACAATTACATTCAATTACATTTATCTTTTCTCTCTCTCTCTCTTTTTTGAGTCAGGGGTCTCTATCACCCAAGCCGGAAGGCAGTAGCACAATCGTGCCTCACCACAGCCTTGACCTTCTGGGCTCGGGAGATTTTTAATTTTACTGTAGAGACCTCATCGCTACAAAAAATTTTTTTAAATTAGCCAGGCATGGTGTCATGCACCTGTAGTCTCAGCTACCTGGGAGGCTGAGGTGGAAGGATTGCCAGAGCCCAGAAGGTGGAGGCTGCAGTAGCCATGAGTGTGCCACTGCACTCCAGCCTAGGTGACAGAGGAGACTCTGACTGAAAAAGCAACAACAAAAAGAGAGATAGTCGCCAGGCTCAGTGGCTCAGCCTGTAATCCTGCGCTTTGGGAGGACGAGGTGAGTGGATTGCCTGAGCCTGCGGGTTCGAGACCTGCCTGGGCAACTTGGCGAGATTTCATCTCTATAATAAATCAAAAAATTAGCCAGGCATGGTAGCGCATGCCTATAGTTCCAGCTCCTTGGAAGGCTGAGGCGGAAGGATTGCCGGAGCCCAGCAGGTCAAGGCTGCAGTGGCTGGGAGCGTGCCACTGCACTCCAGTCTGGGTGACAGAGTGAGACTACAACTCAAAGAAAAAAAAAAAAAGTAGTAGTCAAAGGTCCAATAAGCATATGAAAACGTGTTCCACATTGTTAGCTATCAGAGAAACACAAATTAAAACCACAACGAAAAGCTAACGTGGAAAGACAGATGACACCAATGAGTTGAGAGAGGATGGGGAGCAGCTGGAGCTCTTGCACACTGCAACAATTTTAGAAAATATCTTGGCATACTCTATAGCTAATCACAGGTGTGTACCCCTGACCCATCAATTCCACTTCGTGGTGTATTCTCAACAGGAATGAGTACATATACTCACCAAAAGACATGTATGAGAATGTTCACATTTGTTTATCTATAACAGCCCAAATCCAGAAATAATCTAAATGTCCAAAAGAATAAGTAAGTTGTGAATTTTTCATTAAACGGAATACTACAGGCCAGGCATGGTAGCTCACACTTGTATCCAAAACATTGGGAGGCTGAGGTGGGAGCATTACTTGAGTTTAGGAGTTTGAGACCAGACTGGGTCACATAGCGAGATCTCATTTCTACAAAAATAAAAAAATTTAGTTGGATGTGGTGGCATTTGCCTGTAGTCCCAGCTGCTTGGAAGGCTGAGGTGGGAGAATCACTTGAACCCAGGAGGTCAAGGCTATGGTGAGTTACAGTCACACCACTGCACTCCAGCCTGGTGACTCAGCCTATAATCCCAGCACTTTGGGAGGCCGAGGCAAGTGAACTGCCTGAGCCTGCGGGTTTGAGACCAGCATGGGCAACTTGGTGAGATCTCGTCTCTATAGTATATCAAAAATTAGCTGAATGAGGTAGTATGTGCCTGTAGTTCCAGCTACATGGAAGGCTGAGATGGAAGCAGCACTGGAGCCCAGCAGATTGACGCTGAGGTGACCATGAGTGTGCCACTGCACTCCAGCCTGGGTGACAGAGTGAGATTCCAACTCAAAACAAAACAAAACAAAACAAAAGGAATACTATACATAAATGACGGGAAAAAAACATTCCACAGGGACATGGAATCAATCTCAAAGATATAATGTTGAAAGAAAGAAGCTAGACACAAAAGAGAAATATTGTATAATTTCATTTATATGAAATCCTCTAATGGGTAAAACTAACCTATGGGGAAAGGGGTCAGAATGGTGGCTACCTTTGTGGGGCATTGATTAGCAGAGGCACAAGGTGGTCTTCAGGAAGCCAGAAAGGATATATCTTGATCTGAGGGATGGTTATGTGGGGGTGATCATACGTGGAAATTAATTGAGCTGCACACTTATGACACGCACTGCACTGTGTAGAAGTTATTCTTCTAGAAAATGAAGAGGGTGGGACTTGGGGGGGCACTTTGCAGGCCGAAGTGGGGGTGGGAGCTGGAGCTCCATTGTCACTGCGGGGCAGAGATCAGGGTGAAGCTGAGTTGTAAATAAAGGTGCAGAGCCAGATCCTTTTATTTAAAACTTTGATATTTTGTTCATCGTGGACAATTTTTGGACTGATTATTTTGTATTCAGTTTGATTTTCTAAAATATTTGATTTTGATTTTCTAAACTATTTCATTATTATCTCGATGACTGAGTCTTGGGGGGGCCCCTTTACATTTCACACCCAAGATGAGGGCCTTACTTGCCTGGCCCTAGTCCCAGCTCTGTCCTCCTTGATTCCACCAGAGCAGGCCTAGGCACTTCCTAGGGCCCCAAGTTCCCATGATTTGAAACCCCCTCCTAAGCCTGGCTTGGTGGCTCAGCCTATAATCCCAGCACTTTGGAAGGCCAAGGCGAGTAGATTGCCTGAGCCCGCTGCTTTGAGACCAGCCCGGGCAACTTGGGGAGACCATATCTCTACAATAAATTAAAAAAATTAGCCGGGCGTGGTAGCGCGTGCCTGCAGTTCCAGCTACTTGGAAGGCTGAGGTGGAAGGATTGCAGAACCCAGCAGGTCAATGCTGCCACTGCGCTTCAGCCTGGGCAACAGAATGAGACTCCGATTCAAAAAAAAAAAAGAAAGAAAAAGAAACCCCTTCCTCGCTTCCTGAGGAACACACCATGGCTCCAAGCAGGGGAGGGTTGCCCCAGGTCAGGAGCAGATGGAAAGCTGGGACCCCTCTCCAAGCCCCCAGGCTCAGAACTTGGGCCCTGGGTCAAGCTGGGCTGCCCGTGGCCAGCAGCCCCAGACCACAAGTGCTTGTGTTGCAGGGGTGGCGATCGCTGCCGGCATTTCGTCATCAACCAACTACGAAACCGGCGCTACTTTGTCTCAGGGGACACCCAGAGTCACGGCACCCTGGCAGAGCTCGTGCGCCACTACCAGGAGGTGCAGCTGGAGCCCTTCGGGGAGACGCTGGCTGCTGCCTGCCCCCGGGTAAGCACACCCTGCCTCAGGGTGAGGGTGGCAGGGACGGGAGCCCAGGCCTGGGTGTCCATCGCTTGGGCATGTCCCCTTTCTCGCCTTCCCTGTTTACTACCATCCAGGGGCCCTCCATGTGGGACATGGTCCCTACTGGAAAACGGGATGCTGGGCAGTGTCTTACCCGAGATAAGCGCCTGGTGGGAGCATTTCAGTCTCTCGTCAGCAGCCTCTGGCAGGCAGCTTGAGTCCAGCCAGGTGAGCATGACCATCTGCCTGCTATGTGCCCACTGCCCCCAGCCAGAGGACAATGACCTGTATGACGCCATCATCCGGGACCTCCACCATACCAGCCTGAGCCTGGAAAAACCAGCTGCTACAGCCTCCTCGGCGGTGGTCCCAGACAAGGCTGTCAGCCCCCGCCCCGCTCCAAAGTTCCAGGTCTCCTCCTCCCACATGCAGAAGAGTCTGGATGGGAGTCCCTGGAATCTTCCCAAGGAGGAAAGCATGGAGGTGAGGAGGGTTCTGGGTCACCCAAAGATGAGGCTGCTGAGAGGTCACGTTGACCACTCCCTCAAGCTGTGTAGGGTGCTCCAGGCCAAGTGGGATACTGGCCCAGCTTGGAATCACCCAGGGGTTCCCCCAAGTCATGGCCTGCCTCTGGGCAGCCAGATTTAGTTCAAGCCTGGACTTAACCGTTTTCTAGCCATGTGGTTTCATACAAGTCATGTAATCGCTCCGAACCTCAGTTTACCGTTCCTGAGGTTTTCCTAAGACCCGAAGGAGAGAATGGATAAGAAATGCCTGAAAGTTCCTTGGTAAACTGTAGAGTGAGATGCCTGGGAGTCAAAATTCTCTACAGCACCTCATGAGAAGGACTCAGAAATTTGTCTTAATATATATCAGATCACAGCATGCCCAGGGCTTTTCCTCATGTTTGGAATCAAACCTGAAATCCTCTCCAGGGTCTATAGGAGCCTCACTGGGTGCCCTGCCACCCTCCCCTTTTCCTCCCTGAAGGCCTCTGTGAAACCTCTTCTCTGACTGACTTTCTAGATCTTCCTTGAACACACCAACCTGGTTCTTACCCCAGGGCCTTTGCACTGGCTGTACCCTCTGCCTGGAACATTCTTTCTACTAAGTGTCTGCACTCTCACACTCTCACTGCACTCCATTCTCACTGCACTCCATTCTCTTATTTTATTTGAGTCTGGGTCTCACTGTGTTGCCCAGACTGGAGTGCAGTGGCATGACCATGGCTCACAGTAGCCTCGAATTCCTGGGCTCAAGCGATCCTCTTCCCTCAGCCTCCTGAGCAGCTGGGACTACAGGTACATGCCACCATGCCCCCCCAATTTTTTGATATTCTGTAGAGATCAGGTCTTGCCATGCTGCCCAGGTTGGTCTCAAACCCCTTGGCGCAAGCAATCCTCCTGTCTTGGCCTCCCAAAGTGATAGGGTTATAGACATGAGCCACTGCACCTAGCCCATTGTCTTTTTAAGTGTCACTTGATCAGAAAGGTCCACGTACAGGATAGAACATACCCCCTCTCCCATCTGTCATTCCCTCTATCCCATCGCCTGCTTTGTTCTTCATAGCCTTGGTCATGCCCAGGTACTCCATTATCTGGTATACATGAGTACAGCATATAGCACATCGTACCATGTCATTCTACACAGAGGAGCAATATGCCCACCTCCCAGACTTGAATATAAACTTCCAAGAGTTGGTTTTGCTCGCCAGAGTCCTTGGCACCTAAGACAGTGTCTGGCACACAGCAGTTGTGATGGGCTTGGGGTGGGCCACTCTGAAGGGGGACAGAGCAGTGAGTGGGTGGGTTTGAGGACTCTGAGGACTAGTGGACACACTAGAGGCAGGAGGAGCAAGGCAGGAGGAGCTTAAGTGGGAGGTAGAACTGGTGACCCAAGGCCTTGAATGCCAAGGTAAAGAGGGAGTGTAAGAGCTGTTGGGAGTCCTGAGTGTCGTGTATTCGATGCTTGCATGTATAGGCAGGTAGACTGTGCCCAAGACAGGGGCCTCAGCTTATCGAGATTTTTGTTTACCTGAGGACATCTCAGCCATGACTTCTTCATTCCTCTCTCCCCAGGCCTCTGTTAAGATCCCTCCCCTCCCCAAGAGGAGTGCCTCCCTCCTGGATAAGTCTTTTGGAGGCCCCCAGGACATCATCTACACAGACCTGAGGAAGATGAACCTGGCAAGGCTGGCTCAGGGCACAGAGGTGTCCAGCAGGCACGGGCCCATGCCAGCTGGCAGCCAGGCCTGCTCCCCAGGAAAGGAGGCCCAGAGGAGACTCTCAGATGAAGATCAGAACAGGTCTGATGACCCGGGGCCTGTCCTTTCTGGGGTGAGCCCAGACCAGGGTCCGACAGGGTCTCCCCCTTCCCAGAGACTCCTCCTGCCCCCCAGTTCTGACACCCTGGGATCCCTGGCTGCCACCTGGGGACAGGGGTTTTCAGAGGTGAACCAAGGGGCTCAGGCCTGCTCCCAGGGTAGCACTGAAGACACCTATGGGCTCATCGAGACAGCAGGCCTCCCGCGGGAGGCTGGGTATTCACCAGGCCAGGGAGGCAGCACCTATGAGCAGATCCCAGGCAGCTGGGGTGGTCCCACCAGGCCCCCACATCCTGGGGCCAGTTCCACATATAGCAAACTGTCAGGGCCCATGGACTGTGGCTACCAGAAGCTCTCAGGGCCACCGGCACTCCCAGAGCCCAGTAACACCTATGAGCAGATACCAGCAGCCAAGAGCAAGGAGATTGGACGGACAAACAAGGTGAGCTCCACGTGGGCTGGGTGGCTGCCAGCCCTTAAGAAGCAGCTGGTGGCGGGAGGGGAAGCAGCTGGTGGCAGGAGGGGACCTGTGAACCCCAGGCATGGGCAGGGCAGGTCGCCACCACTGCCTAGAAGTGCCCAGAAGTTTCCAGACCTAACATCTGCCTGGAGGCAGAGATGGTGGTAGCAGGAGAGACAGCGGCTAGATTTGGGAGTAAGATGGGGGTTTCTGGCCAGGCGCGGTGACTCAAACCTGTAATCCCAGCACTTTGGGAGGCCGAGGTGAGAGGATTGCCTCAGTTCAAGGGTTCGAGACCAGCCTGGGTAACTTAGCGAGACTTCATCTCTACAATAAATCAAAAAATTAGCCAAGCGTGGTAGTGCACGCCTGTAGTTCCAGCTACTTGGAAGGTTGAAGCAGGATTGCCTGAGTCCAGCAGGTCGATGCTGGCGTGGCCGTGAGTGTGCCACTGCACTCCAGCCTGGGTGACAGAGTGAGACTCCAATCAAAACAAAACAAAACAAAAAAAACATGGGGGCTTCCAGGCCCTTCTAAGGGCTTTCTCCACAGCAGAACAGGGCTGTCTTCTCCTCCATCTCAGCCAACGCAGGGGCTCCAGAGCTTCTGAAAGGTGGAGAAGGGTCGAAGCCCTAGTCACGGGTGAGTGACTTCATAACCTTGTGGCTTTGGGCAAGACAGTTTCCTCCCAGTTTCTCTGACTAGGGTTGCCAGATTTAGCAAGATAAAATACAGGACATCCAGTTAAACTTGAATTTCAGATAAACAAATACTTTTTTAGTATGTCTCAATACAGCAAATATTCCTTATTTATCTGACATTTTAATTTAACTGGGCAGCTAGACTCTTATTTGGCAACCCTACCCACAACCTCCGTTTCCTCATCTATAAAATGAGTTGGTTCTCTGGTTGTATCCAGGGGTGGCTGCTCAGAGGATAATGTTAGACATCTGCTCGTGCTCAACCCAGAGATGGCTCTTGGGGAACAGAGCTGTTATTTCTTTTCTTTCTTTTATTTTGAGTCAGAATCTCACTTTGTTGTCCAGGCTGGAGTGCAGTGGTACAGTCACTGCTACCGCAGCTTCAACCAGCTGGGCTCAGGCAGTCCTTCTGCCTCAGCCTTCCAAGTAGTTGGAACCACCATGCCTGTGCTAATTTTTAAATTTGTTATAGAGATGAGGTCTTACAAAGTTACCCTGGCTGGTCTCCAACCCCTGGACTCAGGCAATCCTCTCACCTTTACCTCCCAAAGTGCTGGGATTACAGGTGTGAGCCACCATGCCCGGCCCAGAGGTGTTATTTCTGAGAATTTCCCATAAGGAAGAGAAGGGATCAGGACTGTGAGGGGAGGTAGTTAGGGGCTGGTCCAGGGCTTCCAGGGAGGCAGAGGAGCCTCCAGAGCCCTCAGTCCTGGCCGCACTCTGCCTATACCTGGAGACGATGAGACGAGAGTCCCTTCCCCATGGGCACAGCCTCTGATCTTGGGCACACACAGACCTCCTTCCAACCTGAACAGCAACACCCCAAGCTCCCAGTGGAAAGGTCTTCCCAAGAAGTTCTGCCAGCTCCCCACTCAGGGCACACCACACATACCCCATGCACAGCAGCTGCCCAGATCCCTACTCTCCGGGACCACAGACCTGAGCAGCAGACAGTCCTTCTAAGAACCTTAGAAGCCACATCCCATGTCTGCTCTTCCCTGCTGCTATCCTTTTGTCCCTGGTGGCCCTGGGTGCAACCCCACCCCCATCCTACCCCGGATGCCACTGTATCCTGGGGAGCCCAGCTGGAGGCTAGGGGAGACCAGGGCACTCCAGGGAGGTAAGACGAGATACATCTTTATTTTCCATCCCTTTCTATACACCTTCCTCTTCCTCTATTTGGCCAGAAGAGGGCAAACCCTTCCTCCAAAATGGTGGAGGCACTGGAGGTGGAATTTCAGGCACTGGGAGAGGCTCATGCGGGAATTTCCACCTGGCCTCACCCCCAGGGTGCGGGGCCCCAACCCAAGGTCAGTGATGGGCCCCTCAAGTCCAGGGCTTGCTTGCCCTGTCCAGGGTCCCAGGTCTCAGCGTCTTCTCCCTCTCTGCAGCCAGACAAGCTCCGGAGACTCTTCTTCGTAGAAAAGAAGCACAAATTCTGAGGAGTGCCCAGCAGCTGCAGTCCACCAGTGGACTTCTTGGGATCCAGACCATGCCAGGAGCTACTGAGAAGCCCTCAGCTCACTCGACGTTGCCCTGGAATCCTCAGATCCAACCAGCCTGCTGTGAAGCTAGCCTCAGAGACGCAACCTGGGTGCCCACCTGGAGGAGGGGTGAAGCAAACCTTCTAGTCACCTGCAGTTCTGGGCTGTGTTTCCCTTCCCCTGTGCCTCCCACCCATGAAGAGGAGGAAATCAAGGCCAGAGCAGAGTGGGGACTGGTCAAAGGCAGGAGTTGGCACCCCCACTTCCCAGACGAGCACACAGAGGCCTGGGAGGTCTGACAGGGCCAGCCCCCTCCCCCACTGAGCACTCATCCTGCGTGTGGCAGACTGTGTGCTAGGACAGACATTTTCCTAGCTGGTCGAGTGACATCATGCAATCGCTATTGAGGACAAAGCCAGTTCCCCTCCTCGTGGCCCCATCAGCAGAAAGGAAAGGGGGGCTGGGAGCCACATCCTCTGCTTCTGCCCTGTGGGGGTCAGAGCGAGAAGCCAGGAAGTGGCAGCAAAGGCCCAGCCTCCGAAGCCATGGCTGTGACCCAGTTCCTCTTTGGCCCAGCCTCCGCCTCACCTCACTGTGCAAACTGGGCAGATGCTAAGGGGCAGCCAACCCAACCCCTTTGTACTGCAGATGAGGAAACTGGGGTCTGGAGAGGAGTAGCAACTTGCCTGGGGCCACAGGGTCAGGGCCTGAGCAGCCAGCCCTCAGTCAGGCAGGCTCAGGTGTGTCTGAGGCAGCGTGTGGGCAGTCGGTGGCCACCCCCATGTGACCAGATCACTCTCACCTGTCCTTTGATTCATAACAGTCCTGACCTTTAGGGATGGCTCCCAAGCCCCATCTGTGAGGCCAGTCCCAACCTGGTGCCCTGCCCTCCAAGAAGCCTTCAGGGCCTGGGCACTGGACACTCAGGCCTCTCGATCCAGCCTTCCTCTCAAGCCAAGCTGGCTCTTCCTGGATCTTGTCCCTTGGAAACCTTCCCATTTTGTGCCAGTTCCCCTCTTCCCATGTGTCCCTCCCTCCATGGGGTGAGCAGTTGGCCTGCCAACCCCTACCCACTGCCCCAGGCCTAGGAGGCAAAAAACAGAGCTGACCATCTCAGAGAGGATTCCACAACACCTGGCCTCCCCTGTGGGGATTTATGGGGACACTCAGCTACACAGTTTCTCCCTCTGGAAAACAGGCCTCAAAGGGCCCCTCCCCCCTCGGGGTTGTAAAGATTGACAGTAAAGCACCCAGCCCCATACCCACATGTGGTCAGCACCCCGTAAGTGTTCATGGGAATTACTATGGTGGAACTCACTGGAAGATCTGGGCATGAATGTGTCTTCCTCCCAAAGGCACAAGCACTGCAATCAGTCAGTCCCTGAAGTGGGAGGCCAGAGCTTAACCCAGAAGTGACAATGGCAGGACTTTAAGGACCAAGAGCAAAGGCACTGTTAGATGTCTTCCAACACTGGTGGACCCGGAGAGTGTGGGGACGCCAAAGTGTTTTACTACCGGGAGTTTACACATCTGTGGACAGCACACACCAGTGAGGATTCCACGGCACTGGGGAGGACAGGTGGGGTGGTACTCGTAACCCAGAGGCAGAGGGAGAGAGCCCTTAGGCCCACTGCTCACACAGTTTCACATTGGGACGGGGACAGGAGATGGGACTAGTCAGGGGGTGGGGCACAGCCTGCCTTGGGTTTTAGAAAAAGACTGAAAGATTGCATAGCTCATTAAAACCCTGATCCTCACTTTTTTCCCCCACTCTGTCCTAGGCAACTAGGATGTCTGTCCAGCACATGGACAAGTTAGAACCCACCACCTCCTGCTAGGTTTCTGCCCTCCCCTCCCGGGAACATATTTCTGGATAGGGAGAGGATTAGAATATGGGGAAGATCTGTAGAGAGACCATGGGTCCTGGGACCGGACCACAGGGGCCCTGGGAAGGATACTAATCCTCACACCCCATCCCTTCCCTGATGAAGGTTGTTTTTGTTTTTGTTTTTTTGCTAAAAGGGCCACAGGAAATGTTCATGGGTATAAGCCCCTGAGGCCACAGCTCCATTCATGAGGAGCATGGAGGCCACACCCGTGTCGACAGCAGGGCTGGATGGTGGGTTTCCAGGAATGGAGCAAGCAGGGTTGGACGATGCCCTTCTGGGCCCCTGCAGCCTCAGCAATGTCCTCAGATCCGGATGTGGAAAGTGCTGGAAAGAGAGAAAGGGTGAGAGAGGGCGAGAGGCCCTGGGCCAGTGAGGCAAAGGTTCCTCAGGGAAAAGCAAACCCGGTGAGAGGACTGCCTGAGCCCAGGGATTTGAGATCGGCCTGGGCAACTTGGTGAGACTTCATCTCTACAGTATATCAGAAAAATTAGCTGGACATAGTAGTGCGTGTCTATAGTTCTGGCTACTTTGAAGGCTGAAGCAGAAAGATTGCCTGAGCTCAGCAGATCGACACTGGGGTGGCCGTGAGCATGCTACTGCACTCCAGCCTGGGCAACAGAGTGAGACTCTGGCTCAAAAAGAAAAAAAAGCAAACTGGCCCCCAGCCCAACTCTGGGCCTTTAGGGAGTCCAGCTCAGAGGGTGCAGTCTCATCAACAGCAAAGGAAACGCCAGGCGTGTTATCTCATACCTGTAATCTCAGCATTTTGGGACGCAAAGGCAAGAGGATTGCCTGTGCCCAGGGGCTTGAGACCAGCCCGGGCAACTTGGCAAGACCTTGTCTCTACAATAAATCAGAAAATGAGCCAGACATGGTAGCATGCATGCCTATAGTCCAAGCTACTTGGGAGGCTGAGGCAGAAGGATCACCTGAGCCCAGCATATCGAGGCCGCAGTAGTTTTGATCATGCCACTGCACTCCAGCCTGGGCAACAGAGTGAGACTGACTCATACAAACAAACAAAAACAGTGAAGGAAGGAAGGCTTGGAAGAACAGCTGTCCTAGGGAATTCCAGACCCCCAGTGATGACCAGGGGACCCTCTCAGGCTTTTATCCTTCACATGAGAGACTGGTTTTTCAGGGGACAAGGGCCAGTCACCCAAGGAGGGAGGCTGGACTTGAACATGACTTCCATTTCCTGGCCTGCACACCACTGCTCATGAACAACTAGTGGTGAGGCATCAGTCCCATAAGGCCAGGTGCTTGGCTGCGGCCCCAACATCCTGGCTTGCCCTGCCCAAGTCCGGCCCCTGGGCTGGTGTTACCTGAGGAAGTCAGGAGCCTTTGCGATCATGTCCTCAAAGTCAGCGAAGCCCAGCTTGCCATCACCATCCAGGTCAGCCTCCTCAATGACCTTGTCGCACACGAGCACCACCTCGTCCTCGTCCAGCTCCGACTTGGTGAGCCGGGCCAGTGTTAGCTCCAGGTCCTCCTTACAGATGAAGTTGTCAGTGTTAAAGTCTGGAGGGGAGTGGAGAAGGACATGTTCAAGCCAGGACTGGGTCCACCCAGGGACCCCCCAAGGGGTCCTGCCCCACATTACCTTTTCCTCCCAGCTGGTCACACTAGTAACTAGTACCTCCACTAGCTTCTGATGCCCCCAAAGCATCTCTGTGCACACTCTGGGGACACTGGATCCTTGTGTCCACTGGATCCTTTTTTTTTGAGCTGGAGTCTCACTCCGTTGCCCATGCTGGAGTGCAGTGGCACACTCACAGCCACCCCAGCATTGACCTGCTAGGTTCTGACGATCCTTCTGCTTTAGCCTTCCTTATAGCTGGAACTACAGGCATGCGCTACCATGCCCGGCTAATTTTATATTTATTGTAGAGACAAGGTCTCTCTAAGTTGTCCAGGCTGGCCTTGAACCTGTGGGCTCAGACAATCCACTCGCCTCAGCCTCTCAAAGTGCTGGAATTAGGCTGAGCCACCAAGCCCAGCCAAAACCAGCGTTTTCTAAACTGTACCACGCTGCCTCAGACAGGCCCCGAGTCAGACACAATGGGTCAGGAGACTCAGAAGGCCCTTAGACAGAGGTCCCATGGTGGCTTTTGTACAGACTGAACTGGGAACATGGCTTGATGCTACTCAGCAAAAGGCCAAAGCACAGCAAAACAAGCCAGGTGTGGTGCATGCCTGTAATTCCAGCTCCTTGAGAGGCTAAAGCAGAAGGATCCTTGGAGCCCAGGAATTTGAGGCTACAGTGTGCCATGATTGCACACATGAATAGCCAGTGCACCCCAGACTGGGCAACATGGCGAGACTCTGTATCTAAAAAAAAGTTTTAAAAAGGTACAGCAGAATGGTTCAGAGGACAGAGCCACATATAGCCTCATTGGTGAACTCTAACGCCCTTCTCACCATTTTCAACCCAGTAACCAGATCTTTGCCCATGCCATTTGTTTCCCAGAAAACTCCTGGTCATCCAAGTTTTGGTTCAAATATCATCTCCTAGTAGGGGGGCTTTTTAGACACAAAGGTCCCCCTCTCTGAGCTCCACCTGCCCACTGGGCAAACTTGACATTCACAGCGGTGTTGAAGACTGTAACTGCTAACCTGGGTATGACATACTTTTTTTTTTCCTTTCTTTCTCCTTTAATTTTCAAAACAAGTCTATTAGGTAGGTACAATTAGAATCTCCACCATACAGATGAAGACACAGAGAGGGGGGAAGGGAAAGGAACTGCCTGAGGACACACGCCAATCAGTGACCTGGAGCCCAAGAGCCCAGGCTGCTGGCAGGTGTCCTGTACTGTCCAGTTCTGCACTGGCACCAGGTGAGATCCACCTCTGCCTTGGGAGTGGGACACAGTGGGTTCTCTGGAAAGATTTGCTGGCTGGGCAGCTAGACTCCTATAGAGTTGGCAAGATGGGGATTTCTGTGCCCATTTCATTATGAGGAAACTGAGGTCCTCCTGTGTCTGAGCATCACCCCTTAGGCAGAAAATAGCCCTTCCCAGGAGCAATGCCGTGAAATCCAGGACTGGAGGGATGTTGGGTAAACTTGAGAAGACTTTCACATGAGCCCTATGAGCAGAATCTGTGGAAGGTAGACAGGCAGCTACCGTGTCTCCGGAGTACAAGCAGGATGTAGGCGCCAGATGTAAACAAAAGTCCTCTGAAATAAACATGAAAACTACAAAATGAAGTCAGCCCTTAATAGGCCCTGTTGCCTTGGGGTTCATTGGCTGATCAAAGGTGCTGAGCACAAGTTTGTCCTTTTAAAAAATTTTTGAATTTTAAAATATTTTTTGAATTGGAGTCTCACTCCATGGCCCAGGCTGGAGTGCAGCGGCATACATGCTCACAGCCACCCCAGTGTTGACCTGCTGGGCTCAGGCGATCCTTCCACCTCAGCCATCCAAGGAGCCAGAACTACAGGCACGCGCTACCATGCCCAGCTAATTTTTTGATTTGTTGTAGAGATGAGGTCTTGCCAAGTTGTCCAGGCTGCTCTTGAGCCCGTGGGCTCAGGCAGTCATCTCACCTCAGCTTCCCAAAGTGCTGGAATTACAGGCTTGAGCCACCGTGCCTGTTCTTTTTTTTTTTTTAAAGATAAGATCTCACTCTGTCACCCAGACTGGAGTGCAGTGGCATGATCATTGCTCACTGCAGCCTTGAACTCTTGGGCTCAAGTGATCCTCCTGCCTCAGCCTCCCAAGTAGCTGGGACTTCAGTCATGTGCCACTATGTCCAGTTATTTTATTTTTTTGTGAAGAAGGGGATCTCACTATGTTGCCAAGGCTGCTCTCAAACTCCTGGCCTCAAGTGATCCTCCCACCTCAGCTTCCCAAAGTGACAAGTGTGAGCCACCACACCCATCCTGTCCTTGACTCTTCTGGTCCATAATGGGTTCCAGCCTTTCCCAGGGCCTGAGTGTCCCCATCTGAGGGCTGTCTGAGGTGTCGACACCAGTCCCGCGAGCCTATCTGGCCAGCACAGTGGGTGAGCTCTGTGGCTACGAAGTTTTTCTTTGGCTGTGGGACAATCAGACATTCTTGGTCTATGAGAGCCTGCTGCCCTCTGGTGGCGTAAGACAGCAGGCCCCAGGGTTAGGCTGGGGTAAACTGAGGCCGCCCTACCTCTGGCCACGTTGGGGGCCCCTGGGAGTCTCCCTCGCAGTCTGGCCTCACCACCATGGCTGAGGCTTCGTCTCCAGCTCCGCCATGTCATACCTAAAAACTGCCAAGTGATCTTTCTCGAACACAGAGCTGCCCTTCCCCACCTGCCACCCTTCCTCAACTGCCCTGAGCACTAGGTCCAAACCCTTGGGCTGCCTCCTCATAGCCTGGCCCCCGCTGGCCTCTCCAGACTCACACTGCCCTGTCACTTTCCAAACCTCTCCATCCGCTCATCACACCCAGCTCGGAGCCTCCCTTAGTCTTTCCGGACTGCTCCCTCTGCCAAGTCTGCCCACCTCACCCCCCTCCAGTTGACAAGTCTCTGCTGGTCCTCCCAGCGCTCATAAACATCCCACCTGTGACTCCTCGCACTCTAACCACACCAGCCGAGGTGGGGGAGTCCCTCCCTCCTCTGTTCACAGGACTCCATGGATGTCTCTTGGGCACTATTTGTGCCTCCTGAGACACAGAGTGTCCCATACAAAGGGACAGGCACTCTTCAGAGAACGATCAGCCTCGTTGGTCTTGGACACCACCTTGAGTATCACAGCCTTCCCCTCCAGGCCCCATTACCGTAGATCTTGAAGGCGTAGTTAGCCTTGAGCTCGCGCGGAGCCGACTCGCAGAGCACAGAAAACATGTCCACGAAGTCATTGAAGGTGAGGTTCCCATCACCCTCCTCAGAAAATGCCTCCACGATCCGCTCCTTGAAGGGATTCTCCTGAAGAAAACAAGCACAGTGATGCTGTGGGTGCAGGGTCAGCAGGAGAGCTCAGGAGCCAGACGGCGTACAGCCTACGTGACCTTGGACGAGTGACCTAATCCTTCTGAGCCTCCATTTCCCCATCTGTAAGATGGGAATAATCATTGCACCTACTTAATTGGGTTGTGAGGGGACTGAATGAGTTGAAGTATGTAAGGTTTGGTACCAGGTCTGGCACACACAGCTCAGCAAGTGTCCTGTTGGGTCACGTCATATCAGTAAGATGAACTCAGTTGAGCATGATGTGGTGCACCTGCAGTCCCAGCTACTCAGGAGGCTCAGGTGGGAGGATTGCTTGAGCCCAGGACTTCAAGACCAGCATGGGCAACACAGTGAGACCTCATCGCTCCTTAAAAAAAAAAAAAAAGCATTAAAAAGAGTCACTGAGCCAGTTCAGGCCCCAGGCCTGCAATTTTTCTGCTCTCATGAATTCTCCAGCTACCGCAGACACTGCCTCCCCTGGAGCTGTCCCTTGACCTCGTCTTCTGATCCAAGTCACTCGAGGCCCACCTCTCCTGCAGTCCTTCCAGCTCAGCTGAGCCAGCACTTGGCCAGCCTCATTCCATGCCCAGCCCAGGCCGGCACAGAGTGTCCATGAGTGCCTCACATCCTCCAGCAACTCTTCAGGCCTAATCACCAGCCTGCTCTAGGCCAGGCTGGATGTTTGTCCAGTGCCAGGCCTGGGATCCACTGTCTCTCAGGACCCAGGCGCAGGCCCCAAGTAGATGCCATGTAGTACTCAGATCCCCACCTTTAAGCCACACATCCCAAGCCTGGTGAGGGGCACTTTGTGAAGCCCCTCAGGAATGAGGAGTTGTGCCCCAAATGTTTTATTTATTTTTTGAGTCAGGGTATCACTCTGTCACCTAGGCTGGATGGAGTGCAGTGGTAAGATCATGGCTCACTGGAGCCTTGACCTCCTGGGCTCAGGCAATCCCTCTGCCTCAGCCTCCCGAGTAGGTGGGACTATAGGCGTGCACCAAAATGCCCGGCTCATTTTTAAATTTTTTTGTAGAGATAAGATAAGATGTTGCTCAGGCTGAATTTGAACTCCTGAACTCAAGCGATCCTCCCACTTCGGCCTCCCTCAGTGCTTGAGTGAGCCATGCCTGGTCACCCAAATGTCTTCTTAGTGTTGAAGTGTACTTTACATATAATGGGCAAGGAGCTTATGAAATAAAACATTCAGATATATAGTGGTCTGAGGACCAGCAGCATCAGCTAACCTAAGAGCTGGTTAGAAAAACAGAATCTTGACTCTGCTCCAGATGTGCTGAACCTGATTAGCATTTGACAAGATCCCCAGGTGATTTGTGTGCATGTTAAAGTCTGAGAAGTGATACGACGAATGACCATACAATCCCCTGAGAAGTCACAGCCACCCAGGGGCAGAGACAGAAAAATTATCCTAAAAAGCAGACACAAGGTTGAGTGTAGTAGCTCATGCCTGTAATCCTAGGGCTTTGGGAGGCCAAGGCAGGAGGATCACTTTGAGGCCAGGAGTTTGAGATCAGCCTGGGCAACATAGGGAGACTCTGCCTCTACAAAAAATTTTTTTAAAAAATTAATCAGGCATGGTGGCAGGCATCCCCAGCTACTGGGGAGACTAAGGGGGAAGGATTGCTTGAGCCCAGGAGTTTGAGGCTGTAGTCAGCTATGATTACACCACTGCACTCTAGCCTGGGTGACAGTGAGACCTTGTCTCTCTCTCTCTCTCTTTTTTTTTTTTGAGTTGGAGTCTCACTCCATTGCCCAGACTGGAGTGCAGTGGCACACTCATGGCCACTGCAGCCTCGACCTGCTGGGCTCCAGCAATCCTTCCGCCTCAGTCTTCCAAGTAGCTGGAACTACAGGAGCGCGCTACCACGCCCGGCTAATTTTTTGATTTATTGTAGTGATGAGGTCTCGCCAAGTTGCCCAGGCAGGTCTCGAATCCGCAGGCTCAGGCAATCCACTCACCTCAGCCTCCCAAAGCGTGGGATTACAGGTTGAGCCACCGAGCCTGGTCTGAGACCTTGTCTCTTTTTAAAAAAAAATCAGACACAGGTCCCAAATAGAGCAGGCTGGGGCCACTTAAACGAGACAGAACAGGCCACTAGCCAGGCACTGAGGCAGCCACTGATCTGAAGCCCCCTTACTGAGAGCCCCCACTCCATAACTCATTAATTCATAGCATGCAGATGAGGAAACTGAGGCACAGAAAGGTTCAGTGATCTTCTCAATGCCGCACACCCACAAAGGGCAGAGCCTCTGCTGCTCATCCAGCTCCCCCAGCCCCGTCCCCTGCCCGCCCCGCCAGCAGCAGCCCTGGCGTACCCGGAGCTCCGGCATCTGGATGATGAGGCTCATAGGCACATGGACAATGGGGCTCTTCCTGTAATCCATCGGCACGAGGTTGGGGGCCAGCTCATAAAACCGTGCGTGCAGCCTTCAGGGGAAGCAGAGGAAAAGCGCTGGAGGGGTGCCACCCCAAGTCCCCAGAGGCCTGATGCTGCTGCCTGGGCCTCTGCCACAGCAGACCCACCTCAGCCAGCATCAGGGCAGGGGTCTCAGGGAGGCTGTCTGCTCTGCCCACAGGCTGTGGAGCCTGGGAAGGAGGTGGGTTCTGCCCAGACCCCCAGGCTGATGACCAGATCATGTCCAGTCCTACCCGTTTCTACCCCACACACCATTGCCACCATCATGTGACATCACCTGATCCCCGCCCGCCGGAGCCCGCACCTGGATCTTTTATCTCCACTCCCTCCCACACCTCATCTTTTGGGCTCTCATAGGGGTCTTCTATACTCCAGGCACTGGGCTAAGCACTTAACATATGTCATCTGACTTAACCCTCCTTCCACCACTGTGTAGACAGAAGCATCATGACCCCAGTTTCCTGTTCAGCAGGCTGAGGGTTAAAGAGAGGTTATAGGTGGTCTGCCTATGGCCACACAACTGGGAAGCATGCAGCTGGAACCCAAGACTGGAAATCCAGAGCAGAAGCTCTTAGCCACTCCTCCTCCTGCCATGCCAGGGAGGTCACCAAAGCCCAACCCAGTTCCTGGCCCCATGGCTCCCCGCAGGTCCTGTGGAGCTGGTTTCTGGAAGAGCTCTCAGCCGCCCTCATGTCCTTGGGAAGTGTCTGTGAATGGGCCACACACAGCCTCTATCCAACTGGGGGCCATTGGGACCCAGCCTGCTGCCCAGGGCCTGGCCCTGTTCACTGATGGGTCAGTCCCAGCTCCCAGCCCATCCTTCTGGAACATGGGCCCCCTTCAGCATGCTGCATGAACCCTCAGGGGTGGGAGGCATCTTGACACTGCCTCATTTGGAAGCCCAATTCCTTCCCATGATTCAGTCCTTCTTTGTCCCATGTCCCCTTGTCTAGCCCCATCCCACAACAGGTAGAAACTGTGTTCAGATGAAATTATGTCCATGAAGTGCTGCCAGAGGAAGGGGGCAAGAGTAAGGGGTGTGGATTAGGGGCTAAGGCAGGTCACCAGCTCAAGGTGAGGCCCCAGGCCGCTGGAGATTAGATCAAGGTGTGACCCCCCTATCTCCTGGGCCTGCCCTGCTACCCCCAAAGCCAGATCAGCCCGGGTCTTCTTCTAAGTGGCCTGATCCAGTGACACAGCCCCAGGTCCATCAGTAGCAAACCCTTCAGCATAGCCCTCGGGTCCTTCCCTTGGGTCCCCCCAATTCTTGTGGTCCTGCCGCCTCGCCTTCCCTAGCAGGGCACTTGACTACTTTCCCATCTCCCACAGATAATGACACCAGCTAATGTTTAGCAAGTGCTCACTCTGTGCCAGCTGAATTACTTTACTCATTTTAATCCCCAAACCACCCTGAGAGGTAAATCCCCAAACCTCCCATTGTCCAGGTGGGAAAACTGAGACTCAAGGGTTATGTTTGCCCCAACTTAGCCGATGAGCATGGGAGACAGGACCTCAGGATGTTAACCCCTTGGCTCCTCCCTGCAAGTCTCCTGGCAATTATCACCTGCTTCAGAGCCTGTCCAGGGCAAATGAAAAACAAATGGCCACAAGCCTACTTTCCCAGTCACACATCCCCAAAAAGGGCTTGAAATCACAAGGCAGCACCATGACTTAGCTGGAGGGGGACAACCTCAAAACCTGTCCTTGAAATAAGCCAGATGTGGTAGCATGCGCCTATAAGTTCTAGCTCCTTGGAAGGCTGAGGTGGAAGGATTGCCTGAGCCCAGCAGGTTGAGGCTGCGGTAGCCATGATCGTGCCACTGCGCTGCAGCCTGGGCGACAGAGTGAGACTCCAACTCAAAAAAGCAAAAAATCTGTCCTTGGGTGGGAGAGGGTCAGCAAATGCCAGGGTAACAGGATCAAGCTGGAACTCTCCATAAGCGGGCACTCAAGGACTTCCTGTGCTCCTATTTCCTGTGTTAAAAAATTCTGCCCTGTTTTTCACACTTTCCCTAAATATGGAACGATGACTGATTTTTCACAGATCATGCATCTGTTATATGTACTTTTGACAGCTCCACTGTGTTTCCAACCGTTACATTTCCCACTTACATTTTCCACTTGACCTTGACCCCACCCTACATGCCGAGGTGTGAGGTTGGGGAGTTTCTAGGAGTTGGCTTACATCTCCAAAGTTTTGTGGGGTGGCTGTAGCAGGAGCTCAAAGTCAGGCTGAGGTTGGAGCCTGTCTATACCTCTCACTAGCAGTGTGGTCTTGGGTAAGTAGGTTAGCCCATGGGAGGATACATTTCCCTGTCAAGTGGAGATTGTTCTACTGTCCTCACACTTGTGAGGATTAAACAGGATGATATTAGCAAAACCTCTTGGCCTTCAACTGGTAGCCTTTAGCATACTGCCTGCCATGTCAGGGGCTCCATGGAGGGGGTGGACTTGGGAGAGGGGCTGTGGGTGCTTGGCAGGGTTGAAGAGGTGTCTTCTGGGATGAGAAAGCCAGCTTCTGCCCTGGTACACAGATCTGTTCTAAAACAATGACTTAAATGATATTGAGATTTTTTTTTTGGGTCGGAGTCTCACTCTGTCACCCAGGCTGGAGTACAGTGGCATGCTCATAGTCACTACAGCCTCGACCTGCTGGGCTCAGGCGATCCTTCCACCTCAACCTCCCAGGTTGATAGAACGACAGGTTGTGCCACCAAACCCAGCTAGTGTTTTGGATTTTATTGTAGATATGAGGTCTTGTCATGTTGCCCAGGCTGATCTCAAACCTCTGAGCTCAGGCAATCCTCTCGCCTCTGCCTCTCAAAGTGCTGGGATTACAAGTGTGAGCCACTGCACCTGGCTAATGTTGGAATTTTTAAAGGAAAATTCAAAGTGAATTTAAAAACTCAAATCACTATGGGAAAAACTGTAAAAACTGTCAATGAACTACATTTCTTTTTATTTTTTATTTTTTTGAGTTGGAGTCTCACTCCGTCACCCAGACAGGAATGCAGTGGTCACTCCCGGCCACCGCAGCCTCGACTTGCTAGGCTCTGGTGATCCTTCCACCTCAGCCTTCTGAGTAGCCAGAATTACAGGCACACGCTACCACGCCTGGCTAATTTTTTGATTTATTGTAGAGAAGAGGTCTCGCTGCCCAGGCAGGTCTCGAACCCACGGGCTCAGGCAATCCACTCACCTCAGCCTCCCAAAGGCGCGGGATTACAGGCTGAGCCACCGAGCTCAGCTCAAGAACTACATTTCTGTCATACCTCCCATATTAAAGGCCACTGAGCTCAAGATTTATATATTAGTACTACCATAATATCCAGGACCAGAAATAACACTTATGCTACTTGAACTGCTCCAGAGCATGGGGCAAAAAAAGGTGAAAGCCTCCCAGTTTATTTTAGACAGTTAATAAGAACCCTGATACCAGAATCTAAAAGGTAGTATCCAGAATGGACCAATGGTGCTTACACATACAGATGCAAAAGTTTTATAAAATGACATACTGATACATCAAATCCAACAGTATTTAAAAGAATAACACATTAGGACCAAGCAAGATTTATTACAGAATGCAAGGATGGCTCAATGTCTGAAAATCTGTGACTGTAAATCATATTATTAGGCAAAAAGTTTTTGATCATTTTGACAGATGCATTTATGACTATATGGTCGTATAGACACAGAAAAATATCTGAAAAATTATATACTACATGTTTACAGTGATGGTCCTTGTAGAGTGGGAGTGGAAGGGTAATAAAAAAAAGGCTAACCTATCCGGGCTCAGTGGCTCAGCCTGTACTCCCGCGCTTTGGGAGGCTGAGGTGAGTGGATTGCCTGAGCCCGCGGGTTCGAGACCCGCCTGGGCAACTTGGCGAGACCTCATCTCCACAATAAATAAAAAATTAGCCGGGTGTGGTAGTGTGTGCCTGTAGTTCCAGCTACTTGGAAGGCTGAGGTGGAAGGATCGCCGGAGCCCAGCAGGTCGAGGCTGTGGTGGCCGGGAGCAGCCACTGCACTCCAGTCTGGGCGACAGAGTGAGACACCAACTCAAAAAAAAAAAGAAAAAGGCTAACTTGCCAGGTGTGGTGGCTTACACCTGTAATCCCAGCACTTTGGAAGGTGGAGACAGTAGGATTGCCTGAGCCCAGGGGTTTGAGACCAGTCTGGGCAACTTGGTGAGACCTCATCTCTACTATAAATAAATAAATTAGCTGTATAAATGGTGGCGTATACCTGCAGTTCCAGCTACTTGGAAGTCTGAGGTGAAAGGATCACTTGAGTCCAGCAGGTTGAGGTTGCGGTGGTTGTGAGTATGCCACTGCACTCCAGCCTGGGCATCAGAGTAAGACTCTGACTCAAAAAAAAAAAAGGCTAACTTTTATTTATTATTTTACCTACTGTTCAATTGTTAAGTTTTTAAAAATTATTAACAAACAAATTTTTTTAAAGTATGCATTATTTTTGTCAATAAAAAACAAAATTCTTAGTAAATCAGAACAAAAAAACTTTCTGCTCAGGAGCAGCAATAGAGAGTATTTCTCTATCTCAAATCAACATCCAATATCATACTTAAGAGATATGCCCACAAATGCGGGCTGTCTACAGTCACCATTATTATATAACACTTCCTTAGGAACATTAGTCAATGTATAGTCAGTTCTGAGGATCCATGGGTTTCACATCCATGTCAAAGAACTACAAAATATATTAGAAAAAAACTGCATCTGTACTGAATATGTACAGACTTTTTTGGCATCATTATTGCCTAAACAATATAGCATAACAACTCTTTATATAGCACTTACATTGTATTAGGTATTATAAGTCACCTAAACGTGACTTCAAGTATACAAAAGGATGTGCGTAGGTTACAGGCAAATAGGACACCAGTGGGGATTTGGGCATCTGTGGCTTCTGGTATCCTTGGAAGGTCCTGGAGCCAGTCCTCCAGGAATACTAAGGGTCAATTCTAATTAGTTAAGACAATAGAATAGTATGT